CGGCCTCGGCAGCCCGGCCCGCGCGCGGCCATGGTGGCGCGCGCGTCGGCGGCGGCGGAGCGCTGGCTCAGCAGGCGGCCCAGGGCGTCCTGCTGGTGGCGGAGGGCCTCGGTCTGGCGGGCGACGGCCGACGTGGAGCGGTTCAGCTCCTCGATGGCGGCGCGGAGCTCGGCGTCGTCTAGCGGCTGGACGGCGTCGAGGCCGCCCGCGTTGACGGCGAGCCGGCCGGCCTGGCCCGAGCTCTCCAGGGCCTTGTACCTGTGCGTTTGTCTGCGCGTCAGTGTCACGGCCCGAGGGCGCGGGAGGGGGGCTTGTGTGAAGCGGGAGGGCAGGCTCACTGGTCCAGCTCGTCGCGCGACAGCAGCGTGTCGGCGGTCAGGTGATGTTGGACCCAGGCGGCGGCCTCGGGGCCCTGCTGGAATGCCTCCTTCAGGGCAGCCGAATCGGGCTGAGCGCCATGCGCCCAAAGGACATCAGACAGCCTCTGCAAGGCTTGGCTTTCTGCCATGGCTGGGGCACGGCTGAGATGCAGCTGCTGTTTGACGAGCTATTTGTGATAAAATGAGTGTTGGCCATGAAAGCTGAAGGCGTTTCACTTGGGTGGTTGGTTTGCTGAAGCCTGAGGAGCATTGGCATTGGTATTGGTTGAACCAGATTCGTTGCATGGGGTCAAAATAGCACTGACAACAGTGCAGCTCAGCCTAACAAACCCCTGCTTTGAGCATGACGTAATCACTACAGCGGCCATTGGACCTCAACATCTTCTTTTTTTCCACAAATTGAACATGGACCAAGACACACGCTGATAAAGACATACTTCCATCAATCTTCTCCTTTTTTGGTCAATGCCGCCAAAAGATGTGGTATCCATGCACATGCATGCAAACACCAATACAAGTGCCATGGCTATCTTCCCCGCCGCAGATGGCGACGTCCATACTCCCCACCGATCCAGGGCCGCAACATATCCCCAACTCGCCAATGCCTACACCATACCTGCCTATGATGATCCTAGAATCCAGCCCAGCTATTATCGTCCGAGGCAGCCCCAGGGGCCCAGGGTCACGTCAGGCCCTGTGCAGATCTGCCGGCACTTATGACCCATGCCGCATCAACTCCCAGTCCCGCATGCATGCTTAAATTGAGCCAGAGCTTTCGACGGGCCCGAGCTGACGACGTGAAGACATACGCCAGCCGCCAGTGCCCGTTTGCGTAACTGTGGCTCCCTTTCGGGAGCAACTGCCAGCGCCATCATCGGTTGTGCCACCGCCGACGGTATCCCTCCCCCTGCCTTTGCTTGGCCGAGCGGTGTGCCCCATCAGCTGGCTGTGATTATGCTCACGGGACGGCGGCGCGGAGCGGTCTGAGCAACACCCCCAAGAGTGGCTGGAGGTGACCTGCGCTGTTCCTGCTGCTGCTGCAAGACATGATAGGACGCCTCGCTCGGCTATGACATGCGCTGCATATGCTGTCACCCCGCGCCCGCACACGGCCTCGCCCGCCCATTGGCAGCGAGCCCAGTTGGTCTCAGAGCGACTCCGGACACGGGGCCTGGATAATTTCTGAGAGGGTTCAACGCTAGGAAGATGATCAACAAAAATGGACCTCCAGAGAGCTGAAGCATGGCAGGTTGAAGGCGCGTGCAGCATGGATGGCGTGACGCTGTGCGCCGCACTAAAACAGCCGCCCTGCGCAGGAACAGTCAGGGTTTGATGAGAGAGAGGGCAGACTAGTACTGGACAGGTCACAAAAAAGACAACGACACCCAGTAAGGGCTCGGCTCATCGGGCGGCCTGCCACGTCGCGACCAATTGTTGCTGCTGTCTCATGGCGCGGTAACCTGCAGCATTTTACTATTTCCCCCTTTATCCCATCATCGCTGTTTTCTTTCCCCGGCAGCGTACCGGCAAGCAACGGCGGGCGAAGTCCGGTTCTTACATACAAGGTACGGGGTAGTAGGCACAGTGTAGGGCTTGTGTTGTCTCGTTCCCTTTTCCCCTTTCGAGCCTTACTCCCTCCAGCTCCTCACACCGCTTGCTTCGGCGACAGCCCGGGCCAACCTGAGGTGCCGGCGCCGCTGTCGTGGTCTCGGCGGGCAGGGCTTGCCTGTGCCACGGCCTTTCCTGCCGTCGTGACCGCTGGTGCCACAGCAGCTCTCGCGCCCAGGGGAATAACGCTGTGGCGTTGGCCCGAGTGTTTGCGATGGATGAGCCCGTGCTACAATAGCGCCATCTTCTTTGTACGGGTGCCTGCCCCGCCTTGTTCGCTTCTTTCATTTACCAACAAGATACTCTCTTTTTGTTGGCTTTCCGTTTGCCCTTTCCATTGCGATGCGTGCGGTGTTTGCCGTGCTAAGCCGCTCGACACCACCTTGAAATACCCAGGTACCCCTCTCGCATCTGTCGTTGGCTGTCCCTCGCCCACCGCACCTCGGCCCGCATCCAGTTGGACGGCAGGGGTGAGCAAACGCAGATCCCAGCCGTGGCCGCCTTTGGCCCCGTGCTTTCACAACCATGCCCAGGGCGTCCTTGGCACAAGGCAAACGGATGGGCGGTGCGGGTTCTTGTCAACCACCACAGGCAAACGCTTGGGCCCAGGGGT